ATCTTCATTTGTTTTTCGAAGTCTTACAGGTTTGGAACACCATAAGGATGAGTAATTGATACTAGTGTTGGGCGATATGCTCAATTTTCATATCGTCCTATCGTCAGCCTGTGAGATCGCCAATACACTATATTATCGTGCTAATTTATTTAATTATTTATTCACTTAGTTTCATTGCTGGAAAGTCAACCGACTCCAGCGTAAGGCTAAAAACAGCCTTTTTAATGTGACTGAATTTGTATTTAACATGATAACAATTCAATATAAATATTGTAAGTTACTAATTAGAATGCTTATATTTCCTCAGTTATTCAAAAGCAGCTACAGAAAACGAGCAAAGAACATTTACATTACCAAAGAACATCATCACAAGCTCAGTCTAGCGCGAGTTTATGCACTTTAAAATACACTCCCGTTAAAATCAGTGAAGCTATCTACACTGTATGATGAATAAATCTCTTATACTTACATCACACGTACATCTGCACTTTGTTGTTTATGATGAAAGAATTTGCGAGTCAGAATTCAGTCAGCGCGCGCTGAACAACGAAACTCCGCTGTTTCAACAATGACTCATCTGAACGCCTCTGATTGGCCGTTGCATTCATAAGCATAACATAATCGTGTGTGATTGGTTATAACGTGCAACACTGTTAAAACGCGGAAAACGAAATATAATGGAAAAAATAAGCCCTAATATTAATTAGATAGTATTACTAATCTGATAATAATAATAATTCTAATAATAATAATCGTCTTGTTATCGTCAGTGGCATTAGCCACAAGCGATATCTCTGACTATCGTCGATACACGATACTATCGTCTATCGGCACAACCCTAATTGATGCAGAATTTTAGTTTTTGGGTGAACTTTCACTTTAAAGTTATCATCATATCTTGGGTTTTGAGAATCTAGAGATGTTAAGCTAGTCGTGTGTGACCGAGGGGGGGTGGAGGAAGGGTGGGGTTCCCAGACAGCAGTGAGCTAATGTGCAGTAATGCTTGGTTACAGATGTAAACACATGCCTATACTTTAATCATTACAGAGATGTTGGCCCACAAGCCACATGTTTCGACCTACAACCACATAGAAGCACAATCCAGCACACTTTTGTGAAATTGTGATGTAAGGTATAAAAAAACCTTTGCGCTGGATCAAGAATAATAAATGGCAGTATCTCTGCCACTAACCAGGTGTCGCGTAACAATCCATTTACACTTTCTCTAGCATGCAGCACCTTTGCTTTAACAGTCAGAAATTATCTGACTGAAAAAGGAAAGGTTTTTCATATTTAGACATTCCGAAACCTTTAACCTTATTCAACCCGAGCAATCAAAGTTTAATTCTTGTTAAGACGTCTTTGAATACAATCCAAAAAAAGATCATCTTATCTTATCACAAAGAATTTTAACAGCTCTGTCACGCAGTTTGGGGAGTAAAAGGGTGTGTTCAGACAGAAAAAGCCTTCTGATGTTTCCGAACTTGAAGTTATAACCGACCTGTTTTTGTCTTTTCCCTTTGTTTTCTCCACAGCAAAAGAAGACGTACCTGGAGCGCAGTGTTAAAGATGCAGAGGACAACATCAGAGAGATGCTGATGTCCAGGAGGGCCCAGTAAAACGCGCTCACACCCATCCACACACACACACAAAAAAATATCTTCTCCATCACCTTTGTACACCGTGCCCTTAGTTTGAACATGCTTTTGCATGTATTCGAGAATACTCATGACCGCCGAGCTAGTGGGAGTCATTTGTCAGCTGAACACAGGAAGTTTATTTAGGTTAATAGTTAAAAATGAATGTACTGTTGACCGTCTGTCTAATACTGATTTGTGTGATCTCTGACACCTGAGTATTCTGTAAGTCTTTTTAAGTTATTGTTTTGTTCGACTGTTCTTTTTTTCTATGGTTTTGTAATCATACAAAACATTTTTTATGTAAGCAGGTGTTAACATGGTAATAAAGGTGACTGTTTAAAGACAAATCTGTGTGTATGTGTGTCATAGAGGCCGCAGACGGTAATTTAGATATGATCTGAATGACTTGGTACTTCATTGCTGTGTGTTTTGGGGATTGCTGTTTGTGTTTGTGCCTCTACGTCACTGGTTTCCTGTCAGTCCCTCTGGGCATCCTCTTTCCCCCCTCGTCTCGTCTCTGTGTCTCCTTTCTTGTGTTCTTCTGATCCTAGGCTGGTCTCCGAGAGAAATTTATTGCATAAACCTGTGAACATTTGTTTTTCGGGCAACAGCCTTGAAACTGGAAAAGAGAATTTCCCCAGACTTCTGCTTAAATCTTCTCCAGACAGCCTTTCCTGTGTCTTTCCTGTGTGCCAGCCTGCGTCTCATTCATTCATGATGCAGATGTGTGTCTGCTTGATATCCTACTTCCTCAGAAGACAATGAATTGCATAAATAAAGGAATAGAGAATCTTTCTAAATGTGAAGATTTGTAATTGATGAGGTCATTGTTATGACACCCAATGAGGTTTTAGTTTTGGATCAGTGTTTGGACCTAATGTTTACATGGCGCTCTTGACTACTTCATTTTGATCAGTCAGTCGCAGCATTCTGCTGAAAAATATGTATATATTAAATGTGGGGTATGTATTTTTTCAAAAACGCTTTAGAAAACTGAGTCGGGCCGAGTACCAAAACAAACTTGTAGCCAATCAGCAGTAAGGGGCGTGTCTACTCATGATGTGGAGGAGAGAGCGCTCAGTGCAGAAGACGGACATTAGCCGAGCCGAGCGACGACAGAGAGATAGAGATGGCGGATAAAAAACAAAAGAGGAAAATGTCTGCGGAACAAAAGAAGGCTTACGATAAGGCAAGAAGTAGGACCCGTGTAAATATCGGATCAGCTTTCCAGCGCTGGAGAGAACTCAAGGAGCGGGAAGGCCTGCGATTGGACGCCGAGGTTGCTTTGTTTCTTCTCGATAGGTGATTTCGAGACATTGGTTTTGCTTTGTTTCACAGAACTAACATATGCTGTTAAAACACAATATATGCACGTTAAAACACACAGTACTACCAAAACACATTCGACCTGCATTACCATAGTAACACACATTGCTTTCATTTATTGATGACATCATACCCTCGGCCGGCTGGCACAGCAGATAATGCCATAATTGTTGCCTGGGTTGCGTACGTATGTGTGGGGCGGAGCTATCAAAATAGGGGCGACACCCTTTTGGGGAAGGGGCGTGTTTGTTTTGGTGATTTGAAATATCAACATTGGCTACCAGAAATCACTTACCCCACCTTTAAGCGTTGTATAGTATGTATATTAAGTGCATTTATGTGCAGCTTAAGTTTGTCTTCAGTCAGACTAAAGCAATAGTTTGTCTTTTTATTAGTGCTATTTTAGTATTATTTATATACAATTGTAGTTTCTGTTAGTATTTTCAATTACATTTTTAGATTTTCAGATTTTTTGATTTTTTTTTATGTGCTTTTGTCATTTTTATTATTATTTTTTTTAATATATATAAATATTTCTATATCCACCTTCTATATTACCTTCCGTAAGAGTGAGCGCATCCATTTGTAAATTGTATGGCTATGGCTTCCGGTGTCATCTGCTTCCAGCTATTTTTAGCTGTACAAAACAGCTTGTTTTGCTGCTTGACATTACAAATTGGTGTGTCTTACATATTATTTTAATTTTTTTACTTAATCATGAACACACTGGTTTGTAGTGCAAACAGTTTACTGCGCTTTACTGTTATTCTTCTCGACATTTCCCTACGGCGGCTGATGAACCGGAAGTCTCGCACATTCACAGAAAACGCTTACTTCCGTTGAAGAATGAGGTGGATGCCTTTCATTTTTCTTTCAGTTGGAATAATTTGATTAAATTGATTTTAGTAGTATAGCTGTCATTAACCATATCAGCATGTTATGTTTAAAATCTCATGTAAACGTGTTAGTTGGACTGAAATCAAACCATTTTGTGAAGGCCTTTGTGAAAGTCTTGTAAGCTATTTAATCCTTGAAATATTTGATATTTTGCAAAAAACCCTTTGTAGTTTTATTATAACTGTGGTAACGTTACTTATAATAAGTACCAATAGGTTTTTAGTTTAATTTATTATTACATAGTTCTGTGTGGAGTAGGCCTAATCGGTCAGTCACGCTATTTCGCGGTCAAATGCAACCAATTTCTTAGACAAGTTACTCAGAATAATATAACTCAGAATATATCTCAGAAAAATATAAATTTCCATTTATAGATTTATCAGGTAAGTATCTGTGTTCTAGGCTAAGTGGATAATGTACACTGGGTCGTTATTACAAAGATCCTGGCCACCCTGTCTGGTTTTAATGGCAAAATATTAGATGCAGATCAACTAGGCCTATATCAGCTCTAATTCACAGGTTCACACAGATGAAGAGCCATTGATTCAGTAGTTGGTGTGTAGCGCTCTCTACTGGCCACAGAAGTGAATAGAAACTTCCACAGATCTGTCACCTCTAGGTGTGAACCATGTGAAATCACGTGTTCGTTATTGCAATGTGGGTGCGTCCAAGAGTACAGTGGAAAGTTTGCACCTAAGGTTTGTACTGCTAGTTATTAGCTATGGATCTACCGAGGTCCATTTACTGGACACACCGGGGACTGCAGGAGGGGTTATCTTGCCTAATTTTGATGCTCTTTAACAGCTATAACAATGCAGTTCACTTTTTTTTTTGCTATAGACCACACACTTCTAAAGAAGAAGATGATTACTTTAAAGTTTTAAGATAAGTGTCTATTAGATAACCGTTTAAAAGTCTTTGCCCTGAAGAATAATGTTCTGTTTTTAAGGGCCCTGTGGTTCACATCCAAATGAGACGTCCCATTGCTTCATGAACACAGCTCCTGTTGTGTTCACACTGTCGGCCTTTTGATGAGCACAGACAGGGGGAGTAAAGTCCAGGACCAAGGGCAGATTATTAACCTGTCTAATCTGGTCCCCTTCTGTCTCTCGCTCTCCCATAAATCCAGCGCTCTGCGTCCAGCCGGGTCTCGGGTCTCACGTGGCCTCTGGGAGACAGCAGCACAGAGCCAAGCAAATCCTTCAAGGGCCAATGAATCAGTCAGGAACTGCAGAGGAGCTTAAGGTAAAATATCTATAAAGTGTAGAGTCATTGTGAATGAAAACACTGATTTGGGTCACACTGCAGATGTTTATCTCTAAGAGAGTAAGAACAGCAAGCGTTTGTTGGAGGATTTGTAATGACATCTCAAGGAAATCTCAGCTGTTTTCTTTATTACTAGATTTTGCTGTGTCTCTGTCTTTGAGGAAAATGTCTAGATATTCTTTTCTTGAGTTTTTACTAATTTGAACCATGCAAACAAAACATTTAGGCCTTTGTCTAATGGATGTGCACAGATGTGTCAAATATGAGGTGCAAAGTATTGTGCCAGATTATTTAGAACTGTTAGCTCAGTGTCCAAGATACACCAAGAAGTTATGAGTGGTAGGTAAATATTTTTTCTTTACACTCAATAAGACTTAATTTGTCCTTGCTAAGTAATTTTGCTCTTTGGCAATATGAGTCAGTCAATGATACTCATTATTTATTATACATTGTTATATATTTGTTTACATTTACTCAAAATACTAAATTGGGTTACACTGTACTTTTATTAAAAAAAAAAAAACTTTTTCCATCACTTTTGTATTTGCTACAATTTTTCCCTCAAAGTTTTCTTCAACCACCTTTTATGTTAACTTTTGCTGTCTTTTGTAGTTAGATACATTATCTGTAGTTAAATATTAAGTCAATTATTAATGCTAAATTAGACGGTAACTTGCCAACTTTTGAACTTGGCTTCTCTGAAAACTGAAATGATGTCACTTTTTCTTTATGTAATTTAACATTTTCAAATGAACAATTCTTTACAGTTATTTTGTTGGAAATATGTGGTTTGATGGAAGAAATCACATTTTTGGTTCAAAATAAATTACCCAAGATAAATTATTTTAATACAAAATCATGTTCATGTATAATGTATGACACAGATTTTGTACAGTATGTATGTGTATATATATACATATATATATATATATATACAAACATACAAAATCTGGGTTATTATTTATTTAGTACTGACCTGATTAAGATATTTCACATAAAAGATGTTTACATATAGTCCAAAGGACAAAATAATAGTTGAATTTAAGTTCAAACGCTCACTGATGCTCCAGAAGGAAACACAATGCATTAAGAATATGAAGATCAGGGTAAATTGAACTTATTTTGTCTTCTGGGAAGCATGTACGTATCTTATGTAGCCTCTGAAGGGCAGTACTAAATGGGAAAAAAAAAAATATTTAGGCAAAATAAGAAAAATGTACACATCTTCATTCTGTTCAGAAGTTTACACCCCAGGCTCATCGTGTTTCCTTCTGGAGCATCAGTGAGCGTTTGAACCTTTTGTAATAGTTGCATATGAGTCCCTCAGTGTGAAAAGATCAATCTCAAAATCATACAGTCATTGTTGGAAAGGGTTCAAATATGCAAAAAATGCTGGGAAACCAAAGAATTTGTGGGACCTGAAGGATTGTTTCTGAAGAACAGCAGGAAGTTTAACTGTTCAGGACAAACAAGGGAACATAAATGTCTTTCATGTGAAATATCTTATTAAGGTCTGTACTAAATAAAAAATAACATGCATTTTGTGTGATCCCTCTTATTTTGGTCATATAATTAACATTTTGCATGTGTATGTAAAGTGTATGTAAAATGTTGAACACACACACACACACACATATATATATATATATATATATAATAGCAAAGTTTGTCCTGACCATCCCTTTGGTGACCTTATAAAGCTAATTTTCAGCTCTGTTGTCAGTGAGCTTTGATACAATGTGTGCAGTATTTGATTGGAGTAGCACCTGCATAATGTTGTTTATAATCACATAACTTATACTGTCTGGTTACTTAATGATGAATCGTGATGTTCATGTTTTTATCCATGTTATCTCTTTTGAAACTAGTTTAACACTTTATTGAGCACTTAACGTGTCACGCGTATCAAGGAAATGTCTACCCTGCAGAAAACAGGGCCAGTGCCAAACTATATCAAGTCGACCCTGGTCTTTTTCTGAGTCACCGCATAACTGAGCACTTTCAAAGCATTTTCTTAAAAGAATTCCATATTAAAGATTTACGTTTGTTTTAGTTTGGCTGTTCATATTTAATATCCTAGACTTGTGCTTACTATGTAGAGTCAGTTTGCTGTCTTTTGCAGTTAGATACATTATCTGTTGTTAAATATTAAATAAATTATAAATACTAAATGAGAGAGTAACTTGGCAACTTTTGAACTTGGCTTCTATGAAAAATCGAAAGATGCAAGTTTTAAAATGTTCAAATTGACAATTATTTTTAGCAAAATATATGCTGTGATGAAACAAATCATTCATGGACACAGATACATTTTCCTATTTTATTGAAAAATAAATTATATATATATATATATATATTATGATTGTAGTATTTATTAATATTTTGAAGTAGCTTTTATTTTCATAATTTCATATTGTGCTGTTGTGTGTATATGTGTTTTTAATTGTTCTATTTAGCTTAAATTTATTTTTATTTCAATTTTAGTTTTAGTAGTATACATATATACTATTTTATCCAAATTTGTTTTAAGTTTGAATTTGAATTTGAATTATTTTATAAATATTTTATAAATTAAAATTCCATGGCTGGCTGTACAGGCATATGCAAATGTCTTTTATTAAATAAACTGATTTAATATTTAACCTTGTAAAACATTTATTGTATTACAATACATGTTTTAATGGACTTCATCAACTGATGTGCACACAAATAATATCGTCATGCATGAATCATGTGTGTTTGTATTAATTCTCCATTATACTTATTCTTTTAAATATTGTCCATTAGCTCCCACCTTCAGATAGAGTTGTGCCAGCAGATGGTACAGAGGTACAGGAGATGCCTGCTGACGTTGCCAAGACGTCTGATGGGAGTCTGAATCAGCCTGCAGGATTTGATATGATCTACAGAATCGAGGACGTCCCGCCTTGGTATCTGTGTGTGTTGCTGGGACTGCAGGTACACTTCTATTCTCATACTCTCTCCTAGTCTGACTCTCCCAACATCCCCATCCCTTCTAAACCTATATCTGTATGTTCTGCCTCTGGATCTCCAGCACTACCTAACATGCTTCAGTGGAACTATTGCTGTACCATTCCTATTGGCTGAAGCCATGTGTGTGGGGCAGGACCAGTACACTGTCAGCCAGTTAGTGGGCACCATCTTCACCTGTGTGGGGATCACTACGCTCATACAGACTACATTTGGTGTCAGGTGAGTTATTTAATGTGTGCTTTGGTATGGAAATATGTGATTAGTACTCACAATATATATATATATTTTTTTTTTTATTTATTTTTTATTTTTTTTTATACCCCATATTCAGGTTGCCTTTGTTCCAGGCAAGTGCTTTTGCCTTTCTCATCCCTGCTCAGGCAATTCTGAGGCTGGACAAATGGAAATGTCCTCCTGAAGGTACAGTGTTACACTCTAGATCATTTCAGATGTATTCCATCTTGCACAAACCAATACTCTCTTTTTCATTTTGTTTTTGTATTTTGTCTGATACTGTTTCTATGGTTAACTCCTCAGAGGCTATATTACTGAAACTTCTATGCTTAATGCTTGACTTACAGATATAGTTTACTCAAAAATGAAAATTCTGTCATCGTTTACTCACCTAATCTCATCTAAACCTGAGTTTCTTTCTTCTGTTGAACACAAAAGAATATATTTTGTAGAATGTTGGTAACTAAACAGTTGATATGGTAGCCATTGACTTCCATAATATTTTTTTTCTATTATGGAAGGCAATGGTTACCGTCAACTGTTTTGGGGTGAACTACACCTTTAAGATTTTGTTACTAAGCAGATAGGATAATATTCTAAGTTAAGATGTTTCTGTAATATAGCCCCTGTATAACTATACTAACAACTATACTAACTTATCTAGCTGTGGTTACTGAAACAATGTTTACAAAGCTCCCTGCAACAAATCTAGAATTACATAGACCCAAAACCTCCAAAACAGTAAGACTAAAACAAATTGAAACCGAAGGGGCTTTGAGATATTTTAATATGCCATGTTAAAAAAAAAAAAAAAGGAAAAGTGAAATGGCTTAATTCATCTTCATGATGCACATGGAAAATATAGTTTAAAACCCTATTTCTGTCATGACAACTCTCAGAGGGATTGGCATGGTAATGTACATGACAATGTTAATGTATCTGGTCTTGGCGGAATACATCTGCTCCGCTGCGCGCTACTGCTAATACATCCACAACATGCTGTTGTGAGCATGTAAGAAATATTGCTGCTGCAAATGCTGCAAATATGAAATAACCCCCATATAGCATACATGAATCACCTCGTAGCAGATCTATACAGGTGGAGCAGGTGGAGCTGAAGGGTTTCTGAAGCAATCTGCAACTGCTACGGCAAGCACTAGTCATATATTTGAATGTTGAGCAGCGAGCTCATTGGCTACTGATACAGGAGAGAAC